TACACAGTGAATTACATTGTACAGCACTCTTTACAACGAGAAAATGGCAGAAAAGGAGAACACCCAAGACAATATGTAACTGGGGCAAAAGTAATATAACCATTTTCCATGCACGACTAAATTTTATTGTTGAAATTGCACACAGGGAAAATGTTTATATATTTTTTGACGAACATGAAATATTTATCTCACTAAATTATAAGAGGCAGATATAACTGTTTGTGCTCTGCATAGTGCAACAAGAATGGACCTATAGTAATGTCTATTCTAAGAAAAACTTAATTATCACTATACATATACTATGGTGGCCCAGTCAGTGGAATAGAGGGTGTCTGGTAAAAGTTTTTGATTTATATATTTTGGCAAAATTTCGCGATAGTGTTAAGCAGTTTCAAGTAATTATAAATTGAGCATTTCTATAACTGTTTTAGCTCTACAAGTATTATTAATTACTTTCTAATTTCTTAATAACAACTGATATAAAATTGCATGTAAGTGCAATGAGTAGTGTTGATTATTTAGAATTGTGCAGTGATAACATTTTATCACTGCAAAATCGAGTTTCATAGCTGCATTAAAATAGGTAATGGCCTATAACATTCCTATTGGTATGATTAAAAAAAAAGACATCCACATATAAAAAAAAAAGTTGTTATATAGTTATTTCCCTCCTTTGAACTACGCCCCGGCATGGCCAGGTGGTTAGGGCGCTCGACTCATAATTTGAGGGTCACGGGTTCGAATCCCTATCACACCAAACATGCTCGTCCTTTCAGCTGTGGGGACGTTATAACGTGACAGTCAATCCCACTATTCGTTGGTAAAAGAGTAGCCCAAGAGTTGGTGGTGGGTGGTGGGTGGTCCCTCTAAATTAGGGACAGCTAGCGCAGATAGCCCTCGTGTAGCTTTGCGCAAAATTCAAAAACAAACACACATTTGAACTACAAATTGAAACTGGTTAACAGGTACAAATACGGACACTCATACCTTTTAAAATTTCGCACAATAACAAAATCTTAAAATTTCAATTCGCGATTTTAACCGATAAGGACCACATCCGCTTTTTAAATACATTTAAAAAATACTTGAGAACCAAATTGCTCCAACGTTCAGGGCTGCTAGTTACAATATTAATTATTACTAAAGTTATTATTTCAACCATTATTAATGTACCAAGCGTCTACATACAAAGAAGGCCCGGCATGGCCAGGTGGTTAGGGCGCTCGACTCGCAATCTGAGGGTCGCGGGTTCGAATCCCCCTCCCACCAAACATGCTCGCCCTTTCAGCCGTGGGGGTGTTATAATGTGACGGTCAATCCCACTATTCGTTGGTAAAAGAGTAGCCCAAGAGTTGGC